ACGCTGCTCTGCAGGGGAGCAAACGACGCGGCGCACAAAGAACTGGAAGTTGATCTGTCAGCACTATCCTTATCTTCAGGGCAGATGTTTTTATTTTATTCGGCGGCTTATAATTCCTTACTAAATATAGTATTTCATCTCGATGTACTCAGTCTTTGATATGATTTAAATCAAATTCCTCGTCATTATAAATATCACGAATACACATCAAATAGTCTTCTGGTTGCAATTTTCTAATTTCGACTATGCGTAATGTATGCTTTACGCATGCGCGCGTTAAAAGAAATGTTTAATAAAGTAAAAAATAAATAAAGCTTTTTTTTTTGTAAATTGCGATACCCTTTAGATCATAATTGCTCTTTATTTCATAAATTACGGTTTCATATTTTTAATTTCATAATTTCTGCATGCCATCTTACCAGATTTAAATTGATGATCTATAATCCGGAAAAACCGATAATCCGGAATCGCCGAAGTCCCGACGAGTCCGGATTAAAGACGTTTGACTGTACTAATATTTTGGAATTGAAGGCCTTGCAGCAAGAAGCGCTAAGTTCCACTTTGGTAGATTTTGTGTTAATGGGTCTTTTTTTGTTAAAAAAAAAAAAATCGTTCTTTGCATTGAAGTAAAAAGCTATTGAAGTATCCATAAAAAATCATTTTCACTAGCACTTTTAATGTGGACAAACGCTTAGAATATATGTTAAAAAGTGAATTTTTGAAAATTTTAATTTTCCGAAAATTTAAATGCAGAGCTGGTCCCTTCTTGCTGTAAGCCCTTCAATTGTTGATAAAATGCATTCAGACAAAACACATAATCATGTGCATAAGGTTCAGTAACAGAACACTAAAAGTGAACTTGGGATATTTTTGAAAAATTCAGAAAATCACAATGCAACTGAATAACTAGTTGGACACACAAATCCAAAATTCTGTTGTCTGGTAATAGAATAAGTTTTTCCCCCCCTCTTATACTTTGCCCACGTCACAACAGCACTGCAACTCCATCTACTAAGTAAAGATCCGGGTTTATTTTTGATGCAGGAAGAACAGTATCAGTCGGTATAGTAACATAAGGATATGTTAATAGGTAATAGAGGCAATGTTTTTGGTTCAAAAATTCGATAGTAAGCTTTCAGTGAATAAGCACAAATTAAGGTCTTAACAATCTGTTTTTACCATTTTTAAAATGTCTGTCTATGTGTGATGATTTTTTTTCATCCACAATAACTTTTATAAGGAGCTTGCACAAATTTCTATTTTCGTGTTTAATTTTTCTGCATTCACATAAAGAAGCGATTAGATTTTCAGTAAAATTAGACACCCGGAAGTGGTACTTCTGCATGTTCAATTGGTCTTCTGGAAACATGAAGCTCGCAAGTTTTTAATGAAAAACCATATTAAAATATAATTCAAAATTTTCTAATTGTAGTATTCAAGACCTTTATATGGGAAAAACATTACTTGAAGCTCGCAAGTTTTTAATGAAAACCCATATTAAAATATAATCCAAAACTTTCTAATTGTAGTATTCAAGACCTTTATATCGATTGGAAAAACATTACATTTTAGCTTAAATTTAAAAAACGGAGTGATACTTTACTTAAAGCTCTAAACATATTTTCGTGAAGAAACATATTGTGAAATAATTTAAAGTTCTCAAATACAGTATTAAAACATTTACGAGAATGACATATTACATATGTAAGCATAAAATGTATTCTCAGAATTATGCCAAATTCAATGATAATAAACCCAATATGAAGATAAGATCTCGTTCAGAAGCAATTAAATTTGTCTCAATCCTCAATTTTGTGTGGCTTTCACTCTTGTGCAAAATCATTTTTCAAATAAAGCTTTCCTGCCACCAAACTTTATCACTATTTATGATTTTATAAAGAAATAATATAGCAATTACAAAATAAAAGCATGTCAACACGTAACACTTTATTGGGATTATAAAGATATGCTGTTTTTAAAAATTTTATGTAGTGTAAGTGATTAGAAAGCGACGTTTAATACATAAATTTCAATAACAAATGAAAACATTGTCATGTTATTAAGAAAACGGAACACTGATATTGTGAACTGAGAAAACAATAGGAAAAATGTATGGCAACACTTAACACTCTATCGGGATTTCTAAACATACAATACTTTTAAAAGTTTTCATTGTTTAGTCACTGATTTGTGAATCTGAAACACAATATAATCAGAGATATATTACGATTGATGTGACACCTTTCTAATGAAAAAAGTATAATAACAGATGAATACATGAGCTCATACCATTATTTTTCATTGTATGGGAGAACACTAAAAAAAACCTGTTCATAATCAATATTAAGACTGATGTGTAATGTGTGTGTATGTAATTATGGCAAAGCCTCGAGGGCTATCTGCCTAAAGGGAGAGATGCCTTTCTTGAGGACTTTCTAAGGGAAACTTGCTCGTATACACATTACACGTGAAGAAAACCACAAAAATGCCCATGCAGCCAGCCTGTTTGCAGGATTCGAGCCTCGAACTGAACTACGAGTGTTCAGCGACTTTACCGCTCACTCACTGGTTGGCCACTGATGTGTAATGAAGCCAAAATATATCTATACAAAGAAGAACCTATAATACAAATTTTTATACTTGTTTCCTTCTTAAAACTAGTAATAAAATTAACTCCTACAGCAAAAAGTATTTTCACACAACACAAACAAAATTTAGAATCCAGAACTCTACCACTGAACCTTAAGGTTTCATGTAAAGCTTTACTAGCTAGGTATCTGAAATCTTCTAAAGAACTAGTTTCAGAATTACAAAAACTATTATACAGTTATAGTATATCTCAGGTGTCATTTTCTCCCTCTTATATAATATGTTTAAAAAAGGTTGTTATAAAGCTTGTGTCCTTAAATATTAAACTTGAAAAGTAATTTCAATTACAAAGCTTTTCAATATAGGAAACTTTATGGAAATAATTTCAATATTAGGAACAGATATGTTTTGTAAAACAATATTTAAAAATTTTATGTGGTCATCACTGAAAGGCCAAAACATGAAAAGTTTCTTACATGCAAAATTCATAGTGATAAAAGAAAATGAATTTAGTGACATTCTACACATATTACTATTTTTCTGTTCAAGTTCATAAAGATATAAAAATTGTTCATTTTAGCAATTAATGGCTAAACCCACGAGCTTACAACGCATAACTGAAGAACCAAATTTAGGTATCACTAATGGCTATGAGAAATGAGTCTACACATGCAGTCAGAATCTGCATTAGCCCAAACTTTGCATTTCAATGAAATGTGCAATATGTAAGCTGGATGCAAATTTATGTGCTGTGATATTTCAGTGCTCTGTAAAATGATAACATCTTTGAATAATTATCTTCAGTACTGTTCTCAAACATCACATGTCACAATGAATACAGTTTTATCTTATGTAAAAAGCACTGTACTTGGATTTCTGGCTTATTTTGAGAAAGTTTCTAATTAGAAATACATATCTAGATTCAGTATCTAAGAAAACAAAGCCTGTACTCAGTTCCCTTCCCCAAACACCTTGAGTAAATCAATAATTTTAAGAGTGTTTTATATAATGTTCAAGGACTACAGATAAAAAGTAAAAATTAACGACTAATGGACCCAGACCTAACATAATGCTCTCAAATTCAAAATAATTCTCATAATTTAGTGCAAATTAAAAAATATGTAGAACGACTAATGGACCCAGACCTAACATAATGCTCTCAAATTCAAAATAATTCTCATAATTTAGTGCAAATTAAAAAATATGTAGATATGTAGTTACCATTCACAGTAAAATACACTGGCTGTTTTAAAAAAAAGGAAAACCTAGAAAATAAACAACTAATTCTCTCCCTGAGTTACTAACCATGAATTATTTGCACTTCATTTCAACAAGAACTATTGGGTCGTATAAAAAGTCTCTGTGGTTTTTTGCCACTAGCTGTTAGTAAAAAGTTACATTGATTTGAAAATGAGAGAAATATCTGAAGAAATATGCTACGCGATGCTTTTTTACTAAGAGGTCAAAACATTGCAAAATCATGCCAAAAATTTGAGAAGTGTACGGTGAGAATGCTGTGAGTGAACAAAAGACCCAGGCGTGGTTTGCTCGATTCCATTTCAGAAATTTTTATGTCAAAGAATTTGGGATTGTCCATTATGAGCTGTTGCAAACTGGCGAGGCGAAACCATCATATCGGCCCTGCACTCTGCACAACTTCACTGTTTGAATGAAGCAAAAGCGACCAAAATTGGCCAACAGAAAGGGAGTTGTGTTCCATCATGACGATGCGTGGCATCACACCAACGGAATTATGAAGCTACCTGCAAAATGGCAGAAGATCATAGATAATAATGGTCAATATGTACTTGATTAAAATTGATTTTCAATAGAGAAAATTTTTTTTTTCATAAATGTACCAAAAAACCGCTGAGGCTTTTTATATGGCCCAATACATACAATTACCAAACATAAAATAAACTTCTACAGTACTTAAGCATGCTGTAAACTATATTTAAAGCTTATATTTAATGCTGGTACATAAAATGTTAGCTCAATAGTGTGTGATAACACACACAGCACACATTGTTGGGTTTGAATCCTAGATAAGCCATACATATTTCTTACACTGCAGCACCTTCTTGAAAAAGTACATTTACAATTCTCCCATTTCTAAAATTCTCTGTATACACTGGTGGTGAAGGAAGAGGGATAAGAGACCCTCAGTTTCAAATCATTGGGGGGGGAAGGGGTCTCAATCAAAATTAACACTGAATTTTGGAGGATAGCTCTTGTGCTTTTTGCTTTAAAAGAATTCCCAAAACCTGAAAAAGCATTTTAGATGTATTATTCAGTTCTAATTCTTTTTGTTCTATAAAACAGCCAGAAATTCTTATTTTTAAATAGATCATTCTTTGCAATAAGATTTGTTTAGTTTTCTTGTGAAAGTAACAAACTGAAAACAAGGGAAATATAAAATACATTTTTTAATTTTCATGTAGCAAACTTTCAGCACCTGAAACAAGCTGCTGACTCAGAATAAAAGTTCATTTATTATAATAATTCAGTACTTAAGAAAAGTGGGAAATGTGAGATAAATGCATTTACTTCAAATGATTCACAGCACTGACAGATTGCATGACAGGTTATCAAAAGCAAAAAGCTACACTTTTGAAAGTGTATTATATACATTTAGAATTAAAGTGAGCTTTTCAAAATGTTCACATTCATTACTTGCATGCATTTGTCATCTAAAACCCTTCCACCAACATGTGTCAACAGATGAGCAGAGCAAATGAAGTTGAGAATAGAAGCTGCATGTGTTATGTTCACGTCCATAATTTATTCAGAACTTTGAAAAAGAATGACTGTGGGGATTGTTTCCTTAGGGACTGTGAGGAATATTAAATTAAAATTAGAATGCAATATAGAAGACATCCTCTAGCATAGAAGATCATCTGTTCTTGGGACACCAGATTGAAGAATCACTAACAAAGTGATTATAGTCAGAAAATCACTTTTACTTAAAAATTTAACCAAAAGTATCCATAGTAAATGTTTTTCAATACATTTTATTATTTTGAATAACTTCCATGGACATATTCTACAATCAGTGCTCAATGTTATACTTAAAAATTTAAATGCATGAATTTCAAACAACGTAATGTACAATATGATTATTTGAATAGGGTAAAGAACGAGGCTTTTCTCTAGAGAAAGGAATGCCTTCATGGAGGACTGTTTAACCCGTTTGGGATGGGCGTCATATATGCATCTCACATTGGGTCTGCCATTTGAATTGCCGTTTAATTCACTCTGGCTGAGCATACTATCTATGACTTTTTAGATAAAATATTTAATTAGTATTTTTTGTTGACAATAGATGTAGCTGTATGACTGTAATGCTGAAGTTTACAGAAAGTAAAGCATGTTGATCTTCATTCCTATGCTATGTTTTTTTTTTTTTTTTTTTTTTTTTTTTTTGTACTTTGTTTTGGAATGAGAATAAGATTCATGGGTATTAAAAGATGTATTGCCTCTTTACCTTCCCCCCCCTACAGACATAATGGGCTGGAAGTTCCATCTTTTTTAAAGGTTTTACATATTGCTCTGAATTTTTTTCTAGCATTAAGAAGGATATTTTGTATGGTTTAATGAAGTATTTTTACACCTAAATGGTAAAACAAACACGGTATTCAACAGAAGAGGAGTATATTCGAATGAGAAGAAATGAGTGTTTCTTATACTGATAATATTTTTGCCGAATTGGAAAGCGATAGCTATAGCGATTCTAATATCGTCATATTTATTTGTTTACATATATTTAATTGAAGTAAGTTAAAAATTATACATGCTGCATTTTTATGAAAGAGATTTTTAATAATTTTTATGTTCGATTAAATAAAATTCATGACTAGCTACTTTTGCTATATATGTATATTTGAGGTAAGTCAAAAATTACAATACTCTAGATCTTTATTATTTTAATAAATTTTTATGGAAAATATACAGTTTTAAAATTAATTCTGACAACTACCTCAGAGCTCCTCTCATAACATACTAAAAAATGGAACAATTGAACAACAAATATGATTTACATAAATTTTGTTTCCAAAGTGAGGCTTAGCAACATGAATTGCCTGTCCCCACAAGACAATGCATCCGGATAGTGCCGCATCCCAAGAAAGCAGTTTAGTGATTTAGCTGTCCATTGCAAAATTGATTAAGAGAAACTGGTTCATATTCATGTTACACATGGAGAACACTACAAAAAAACCACCACACAGCCAGCTCATTTGTCAGAGTTTAACAGGCACTGAACTGCCAGTATTCAATGGTCTTAACAACTCAGTCAATATATTATACATATACTAACACAAGAAAACAATCTGTAAACAACAAGGATTCACTATGTTACATGTTCAAAACTTTAAATGAGATTTTAAAGCATAATTAAAAAGCATGAATATTTTATGGAAAACTAACATAAAAGTTGTTAACTTTTTTCTAAATATTATGCAAGAAATATATATCACAGTTTTGTTAGGCTTTTATTTTGCTCATAGAACATTTAGTTATATGTACAAAAATAAAATACTATATTCATCAACAAAAATTATAAATATACATTAATGTTCATGGAAGACACACACTTCAGCTTAAAAATGTATTTTCAAGAATACCCATATGGAATTTACAAAAGTTTAAATATTAACTAACATTAATTGAGTACAGACTAGTAAGTTACTTCAAAGTTCAAGAAGGCACTTAAAACTGAGCCAAATCAATAACTTTCAAGTAAAAATGGAATATATTAAAACTTAAGAGCAAATTTCATTGTAAGTGATAGCAAACATTCCCAGAAAGAAAAAGGAGGTATTAATTTAAGTGGTACAAAATAACTAAATTTGGTTTAATTTAGCAACATTATTTATGAAGAAAGGAACAAATTTTAATTTCATTTTATGAATAAAGTATACTTTGCAGTTAGTGCAAATTTTAATACATAAGTTAATAAATACAGCATACCAGGTAATGATTACTACATCTAATTTAAGTTAGAAAAAATATTTTAACAGATTTGATTACAAATATAAGGTCGAATAATTTCAATGCAATACACTTGATGAATAACAGCTACCTACCATAACAATTATGATCAAATGTATTAAAATGTGGAATTAATTTGCATAATTATCATAAACATGACAGCAGATTAGACTGATTATGTATAAACAATATAAAAATACAGCTTCATGGCATTGTAGCATTAAAGTCAAATAATAATTTTTCATTCTTGCTCAGCAAAATAAAAAATTAACCATATAAAAATGTACAAGCTTTCTAACATTCTAGCTTCCAATACCACAAAATTTTTCAGAACACTGTAAAACCAATATTAATAAACTCTTAAAAGATTTATTACAAAATTTAAAGCACAGGCTTTGTTACTTAATGTTGGAGAGAACTTGTTCAGCAGAAAATGTTTATATAAAACACATCATTCAAGAGATTCAAATAGCGACATCAAATTGTTCTAAAAATAATCCTTATACAACTGCAAACGCTTTATAATACTATTATTAAATAGAGAAAAATAATTGTTTGCAGTTACAGTTGCAAATTAAAAATTGGAGTTTAATTTTTCTCATAGGTTTCATTCCACAAAACTGTTCATAAACAGTTCAATACATGCTTATTAGAAGGAAACTAGATTTATAAATCAAATACTCAGCAACATAACATGAGATAAATATTGTGCAACAATTAGATCTACTAGCAAAACTTCTCAATGATTATTTTTTGTATGGAATTTTCTTCCTTTGCTTTTATTTACATGTTGTTCAAATAACTTAAAAATTCACCTGTACATATGAAGGCTAAGATCCAGTCTACTTATTATAAATATCAAAACATTACATGGAACTTTACAAACTATACTTCTCGACTTTTTAATTAATACCATATTTATCTGTCAAGGAGTTTCCAGATTCTTGAAATTCTCTGCAGATTTCCTGAGAGCAGTTTGGTACAAGAACAGTAGATAATGTTTCTCCTAAAAGAGGAATATATTTAAAATCATGCATGAGTTTAAATTGTAACACTAATGAATTTGCTCATCTACTAAATAACAACATACCAGATTTAACAAAAAGTACAAAAGCAAACCTTAATCTTCTATTAAAGAAATGCAAGCATGATTTTTGAGTTTAACATTTAGATAAGAAACAAAATTACAGTAGTAGATACTGTTCATTAGGCCTGGCACCAATAATTTATGTACTCATATCTATTGATACTTGTGAAAGATTAAAAGTTGCTTAGAGACCACACAAAAAAGTGGAAATATCAAGTTACAGGGACTGACACATAATGGTGCTGGCACCTTTATGTGTACCATTCAGAGTGTCATTGCAGAAACCTTCATAATGATTCCCCCATATAAAGGTATTAAAATCAATGTGATGACCAGTTTCTAACTTGCTACCAGCAACCTTTATAAAAATGCCAGCATATTCCTGATGCCCATTATCCAATTAAGATTGCCATTTGCTTTGTTAATGAGAGTAATAAATAGAATCAGTATGGTTCCCATTGCAATACCCAGGCACAAGGATGCTAACACTTATGAAGATTACACCCCATTTTTGGCAAATCAATATTATTTTTTCCACAAAATTATTTCATTGCAGAAACAACTGCACAAAATTTTAAGTGAATTATTCCACTAAAAGTAGTTTTACACTGTTTTCTTCCTTTTAACAGCTAAATCTTAAGTACAAAATTAAAAACTTAGTGATAGAAATATCAGTAATCTCATCAGCAGTTAAAATGTGAAAATTAGATGCCTCGAGTTCTTTTATCATGTCATTGTTTCCACAGAATTAATAAGCATAATTCACAATTTTTCTGGAATTCCACATATTTTGCTGTACGATCATTAAATCTTGAACCGAGCACAATAAAATGCTCATTTTAAATGCTAGTCATGCAATTATCAATATTTTCACTTCTTCACGAATGGATTTTTTTTTCTTTGAACATTCATTCGAGATCTCACTTAATAAATACACAAATCCTGCTTCAGGTAGCAAGGGACTATTATGCCTGAATTTTGTCATACTGTCCAAAAGTGTGTGATTATGGCAAAGCCTCGAGGGCTATCTGCCTAAGGAGAGGGATGCCTTCGTGGAGGACTTTCTATGGGATACTGGCTCGCATACACATTACATATGGGGAAAACCACGAAAACGCCCATGCAGCCAGCCCATTTGCGGGATTCGAACCTCGGACCGAACTACCAGTGTTCAGCAACTTTGGGCCTACTGTCCAAAAGAGCTTTACTATTTGAATGCCATTTTTTTTTAAAAAATCCAATTTCCAATTATCTGCCCATTTCTTTCCACTAACAAAACAATTATTTCCATGTCCATCATGACAGTAGATACAAAGAACTCCATATTCTTCATCCAATAAAAAATTTCCTGTAATGAAATTCATAATTTATTTTTACTATTTGTTGTCTGTTTCAAACTATTTCATTATGCCATTCTAATTTAAAATCACTTTTGTTTTTCTCCTTTTCATGAAGTTTTCTATTGTTTACATTGTTGAGTGCATATGGGTTCGTAATGAATTGAATACACAAGTCGATAAAAACTTAATAAAATTTATTTATTCTTCTTATTAAGAAATAAAACAAAATGCTGAAATTTAATCAGAGATATTCGTACAATATCGTAATATCTCACAGTAGTTATATTTTAAGTTATATTTTAAACTACTAAAACATTTAATAGAACTCTATTCAAAAATACAGAGAAAACTAATCCGATCTCACCGCGAATTCGCTACAATCAATATCAGCACCAAGTAAACAAAGTAACTGAGATTTTTTCCTTTGGCTTTTATAAGAACAAGTACAAGAACATTCTGGTATTTTTTCAATTTTTATGGATAGCAAAAGAGTACAATTATGAGATACCTATGTATTAAAATGTTAAATGCGTGTGCTCCTGTATTTTAATTTTTCCGACAAAGCTTTCTCTTCAAATAAGTCTGTGCTGCATTGCACAGGAATATAAAACAATTTTAATTAAAAATTCTACTAAAAATATCTAAATAAATACAAAATCTGTAACAATATATAAATATATGAATGTACAGTAACAGCATAAACACACTTTGTTGGGTACACTTATAGATAACATACCACAATGCTAGTCACTGTTTAACAAAGCACACGTATCACATTACAAGACAATGTAGGCACATTAGCGTAATTTCCTTCAGTTGTATGTCCCAATAAAAGTGCACATATTAAACACTAATGAATATATTACAAACATATTTAATACAACTTATTTTTAAAGTAATTTTAAAATGCAATTATTACTATTATTTTGATTAAGCACTCAGCCACTGGTGGGAAATTATTTGATTTTTGAAGAATGCTAAATAATATTAGTAGTACTTGTTACTATTAAGTTTTATGGTTTGATAACTTGCGGTTTTCGCTAAAAGATTAGATCAAGTTCTCTACAGATAATTCATGCTCCATACTCGTTTACTTCCTGTGAATGATGAAACAGCACAATTGCACACAGTAGTAAACAAATTTGAGACTTTGATAAGTATAATTTAGGAATAGTCTTAAATGGCTCTACAAAAATCTTGCCAGAGATAAAGTGTGGTTAGCTAAATACACTGCTGGCCATTAACATTGCAACAACACGAAGTAAAGTAGTTAGTAGAACCATATTTATTTTTACAAATACATCAAAATAGGAAAATGAAATTATAAAAAATTTATTTTGGAAATATACAGAACATGCAGAAATCAGTACCCTAAGCATATGCCACTCACAATAACAGCAGCTGTTATATGGCCTAACATAAAATCTAATAGACTCTGGATGGCAGTTACATGTGCTGATAGTCTAGATGGTCTAGATGGCTTCATTTCTCTGCCACAGTTCACCTGTTGTACAAGGTGGAAGGTTTTGTTGCACAAGTCTGATTTCTTTTTATCCAGAGCTCAGACTGAATTTAAACCCCAAATGTATAGCAGAATGTACTATTTCAGAGGATAATAGAAACAAAGATCACTCTTTTCCTAGCACACTATTGAAGAAAAGTAAAATGGTGAAAATGTAACTTGCGAGAACACGGAGAATGCTAGAAAGAGTACGAGAATATGGAAGTAAATTTTAAAGGACAAGTGTAGGTACGAAAAAGATGAATTCAACACCTTTTTGACCACATTCCTTTGTTAATGTAATTCCAGCTGCCATTCAGATAGTGACAAAATAAAAATTGTACTCAAATTCAAGGGACAGTATTGATCTATAAGCAGAGAACAAACACATTTTTGTACAACTGATCACTTTAGTCTCCTATTTTTGGTTACACTGTTCCAAAAAATTATGCATGTGCTCTATTCTGAAGGAAGTCGCAAGTACTAGACATATTTGAGTCATTCACATTAATACTTCATTATATTAAGCCCAATGTAACTTAAGAGTGGTAATATAAGCAATGGTTCTCTTTCCCTGCTCTACTGTACATCTCAAGTGATTGAAACTGCCGGCAGAGAATTAGTTGATATGACAGCAAAAACATTTTGATCATTTCTAGTACTTACAGGAATGAAAAATTTATTCATTTTAAGATGAGCTCTCATAAATTACTTTCACTTCCTGTAGAATGAAAGCTATTTAAGGCTCAGCCACTGTCTAAGGGCTTCTTTCTAGGGACAGAAATGCATGTATCAGAAGTTAGAATCAATTTTTGAGGCTTACTTATAATTAAAATAAAATTATATGGGATCAAAAGAATATTTGCTGAAATTGTGGTTCAGCTTCATTTAAGAAGTGCACTAGAGCCCCTCTTACTTAACAGCTCTGGTGTGCTCCAACTAGAATTATCTAAAAAAACTGGGAAGTACGGGAGCTGGGCTCTGCCGCAATTTAGCTCTGACGTTATTTAAAGCATATATAATTTTTCTTTCCAAAAATTTATATTTCTTAAGTGCCTGCATTAAAGCTATTCTGCCAACTTTGGGTGTGCAAGGAAAGCCAAATATAAAGTGAAAAAGCAAGTTAACAAAAACATTTCATAAACTTAAAAATCATTAAATTTAAGGAAAAATGTAGTGTTTTTACATGAACAGTTTTTCAATTTTATAAACATTAAAAAAGATGAATAAAAAATTCAATGATTTTTGAACAAATTTTGTCAAATTGTGTGACAAGTAAGGAGTTAAAATAAAAATACTTACCACGTGTAAGTCTGATGCATCTCTCTTTATCCTCAGCCACATAAAATGAATTGATGAAGAAAAACGATGAACCCACAACCAATATAAAAATTGGGAAAAATAATGCATATTGTTGACTTTTGAAACTTGCCATAGGACTTTGATCTCCATTAGCTATTGCATCGCACAACTGCAAAAGATAAGAGAGAAACTGATATTTCTTTAACAAAGATTATTTAGAACAGTGGTCGTCAACTCTTGGAACTTCACGGACCACTACATATATAATTTTATATTTGGCAGGCCACTAATATGAATTTTAAAAAAAGGTAAATACATTTGTGCAATAATAATCAGCAAACTACACATATTTCATTCACATTGTAAAATTATATGAAAAGTACAAAAATCTTACCTTCTCGTACAGAAGGGATTCACATTTCCATATCACTGAAACAGAACTTCACAAAAAGCAAGAACAAATAGGCAAATGAAAAGCAATATCGATAAACTGACAGTGTTTGCAGCCAATTCTTAATTATTGTAAACAAAATAATCATCAAGACACAATAACATGCCAAATAGATACTAATTCAGAAGTAAAACAACAAAAATCTGCGTTATATTTTCAAAATTTTCGCAGGACTAGTTTCGATGGTTTTTACCGAACCACATCCTCAGGCAAAACCGCAAATGACAATAGGAATAATGACTAGATAAGATAAGAAAGCCTGGACAGGAATAAGCAAGTGGCACATCTGTTGTTGAAATCAAACTAAACTAAAATTTTCTTTAAAGGCCGAAGGCAAAGACGGATTAGAATTAGGATCATTAACTAGAACAGAAAGATTTTTTTTTAATATGAAATTCCTCTAGAAAATCCAATTCTCCAATGGAAGATGTTTTTGGAATAATTTTGGTAGCAGAAAAATTGAAAGTGTGATTTTTGGTACCAACAATGTTGAGAAACAGAAGACTTCTGCGTTCCTTTTTTTTTTTTAATATGCCTTAAGTTCCTTGACGCGAAATTTTAAGGCTCTTTTAGTTTAGCCAATGTAAATTAATGAATCATCTTTAATTTTTACTTAAACATAAATGAATCATCTTGACTTTTTACTTAAATGTAAATGAATCATCTTGACTTTTTACTTAAATGTAAATGAATCATCTTGACTTTTTACTTAAATGTAAAAGTAAAAAATTAATCCCCAATTTTATTCAAATCAAATCTAATCAAAAACCTTCCAGTCGCGTTTCAAGAATTCTGTTAAATTGCTAGCTTGCCTTACTTCGGTCCATCATAAAGAATACACGTCAACAATTGTCCAAAATTGAACATGAACTCTAAGCTTCATCTGGAACTCCATTTCCAATTCATATCCAAAATTCACTGCCCTTGAACAAAGTCTTGGTCTAGAACGGAGAATGCAGTTAACCGTCAAAAAAACACTCTTGCAGTTAAATTCGAAAAACTTCTAAAAGTCTTCCAGTTCCAAGTCTTCAAAAATCTTTTGTAAACAATAAATATAATATTTCTAATTTTAGTCTTTCAGAAGAACAAAGAGAATTCTAAAATATAATTTTAAACTTCTCACAAACCTGTAAACCCTCGATTCCAAAGATTTTGGACCTCGAAAAAGCTTTCAAGTTCCAAACAGATTCACAGAAGAAATTATTAGGCTCTATTTAGCTCATAACTGAAATTCAATAATAAACCTTTGAAACCGAATCTAACTGCGAGAGTTCTACCCTATGCGATTCATTCTAAATTTATTAAAATTCTCAAAGGCCGACAAAGGGTTCAATAAGAAACCATGGATAAAACACGATTCGTCAGGTGTCACTCTTAAAAAACCACTAAATCCGATCGGGTGTACCTTCCTTGTCAAAAAAAAACGGATCACATCTAAATCATTTTAAAAATCACTTACTTGTCAAAAATAAAAACTGTGATCAAATCTTCACAAATCATTTCAAGCAACTTAAAACATTCGCTTATCCCATCTGTTCCAGTAGGGGGTGCATTAAGATGTCTAGAAACCAGACTTCGTGAATTTCATTTCTCTTGCATCGAAATTGATGAGCTAATTTCTCTCTCAACTCTGTTTGAAACAAACACATTTTGTTTTCCAAAATAAATATTACAAGCAAACTCAGGGATTAGCCATGGGAAGACCCCTCAGTCTCATCCTGACTGATATCTACATGCATTATTATGAATCAAAATTGTTTGAAACTTTAAACTTCCCGGCATGGTTCCGCTACCTAGAAGACACTTTTACCCTGTTTGAAGGTAATAAAGATAATTTAAATAAAGTTCTTTCAACAATGAATTCTATTGATCCTGCTATTCAGTTCACTTTTGAACTTGAGACTTGCAATTCTCTTTTGTTTCTTGACATTCCGGTCACACATAACACATCCAACTTCAGTACTATGGTTTACCGTAAACCTTCATTGTTTTGCCTTCCACCACACTTTAAATCATGTCATCTGACTAAACAAAAGTTGGCTTCATTTTATTCCTATGTTTTCCGTGCTCTTCAAGTTTGCTCCTCCAAACTAGCCCTTGATGAAAAACTAAATTATTTAAAAGGAATAGCTATTGACAGGGGCTTTTCACCCAACATTATTAATCAAGCAGTTAAAAAATTCTCATCTCAACACACTAAAGGGCACACTCTTGTTTTAGGAGATTATAAAAATTCTGTTGTTATTCCCTTCTATCCATCAATGAGCTATAAAGTTGCACATATTTTGCAGAAATTTAACTTTCGGGTTGTTTATTCTCCCATCAATAAATTTCCGAGTTCCATACTCAAGGATCCCATTCCGGATATGAATTCCTGGGGTATTTATAGGATTCCTTGCCAGTGGGTTTAATTTTACATTGGCCAAATAAGAGAGCCTTAAATTTCGCGTCAAGGAACATGAGGCATATGTTAGAAAAAAGGAAACACAGAAGTCTTCTGTTGCTCAACAATTTAGTCCTGAAAATCACACTTTCAATTTTTCTGCTATCAAAATTATTCAAAAAACATCTTCCATTGGAGAATTGGATTTTCTAGAGGCCATTTCATATTCAAAAAATTCTTTCTGTTCTAGTTAATGATCCTAATTCCCAATCCAATTTTTGCCTTCGGCCTTTAAAGAAATTATGTTTTAGTTCTGGATTCATCAACAGATGGCGCCACTTGCTTATTCCTGTCCAGGCTTTCTTATCTTATCTAGTTATTATTTCCTATCTTGCTCATTTGCGGTTTTGCAGCTGAGGATGGTGGTTCGGTAAAAACCATCGCAACTAGTCCTGTGAAAGTTTTGAAAATATAACGCTGATTTTTGTTGTTTGACTTCTGAATTAATAATAATCATTGCTTACTCAGCAGTGGTGCCATTGATCAACAGTTAGACAAAAGAAAAACAGAAACTGCCAGTGATGCAATTATAAACAAGAATGCAGATGGTTGTCATAAAAATCTATCCAGATGCCTATTGACATGGAGAAAAACTCTGTTTTTAACGACCACAATAGCGTATGTTTGAAATTTAAAAGGAAAGAGAATTCCAGTTCACGATATTGATAACAGCAGCATATCCATAGATGCCAACTCTCACTTTCAAATGTCACTAGATACACCTGCAAAAGCTAAAAAGTCACTAAATTCAGAAGGAATTTCACTAAAAATAGTAGCTAATATTTTAAAAAAGTGTAATCCATATTCCATAATAGGATTTTTTTTAAACTGAATCTTCATAAAATATAAATAATGTGTCCAATTTTTTTGTGGACCATCAAAAGGTTTTCATGGTACACTGGATGGCGACCACTGATTTAGAAGATCTATGTGCTTTAATGAGATTTTGCAAAAAGTAATCCACATTTAAAACACACCTGAAATCATTAACCTCCATTTCCCATGGAATCTTTTTTTCACTAAATTGATTTTTTAATTAACATAGAAGGCCTTTACTTTCTAAAAAATTATAGGACCAATGGTAATTTTACAATTTTGCAAGATCGTAAATAAGTTATTCACTAAAAATGTATTTTTGAAAGACCTTAAATTAACAATATTCCAGGTATTTTAAGTACATGGAATTTTATAAATCCCAATTTCTAATTTCACATAATATTATATGATATAGCAATGAAAAAAACTCCCTTATCTCAAACTCAATTTTAAATCAGTATTCTGAGTAGAAATAGAGTATTTATTACAGCCCTTAACCTGTAGCTGACAAAATATACCTAATTCATTATTCTTTAATACTAATTATAGAACAATATACTTTTTGAATATATTTTAAAGCATAACATAAAAAGAGAGGTAGAATATGAAAGGGATCTTCCAGTTGCTGGTCATAGGCACATGCAATTCTCTTAACCTTAAAATGATTAACATAACTAAGGAATACTCCATCAGCCATAAATGCATGATAAAAAAAAATTACTTAGCAACTTCATTATCTCTACTTTGAGAAAAACTCAAAAGATCCATTTACCCTTTGTCACCTCATAGTCAAAGAAGCAGTATAACATATCCTCAAACCTATGAAAATTAAATTATTATGAGAGAAAACTAAAAAAGAACTGATAAAATTAAGGACTTGTTACTTGCAATAATGATCTGAAAAATATTGCTCTAATCACATAAAAACAATAATAAAAATATTTACGACTGCCCATAACACAATGACTGACATTTTTTCATGATTAATATTTTAAGTGATTCTTCTAAACAGCTATTGGTAAAATAAGAGATTAAGGAGGAATACCATAATCCTTACATTAAGCTTCAACTAGCAAGCAACTAGCAAATCAAGCATTGATTTTGTTCAAAAGCATCTGCTACTCAATTGAACTTGCTTTTCATTCCTTATTTAAGTTCACTATTTATTACTATCAACAAAAAATTTCCTCTTAACCCCATACAACATAATTTCAATAAAAATTAACCTTAGATAACTGGCATTTACAGCACATTAATTCTAAATCATTTAGAAATTTAGCTAATTTTTGTCATATATTAAGCATCAATAAACTATCAAAACAAAAAAAAAGTAAAATATTTTCTGAATTTAAATTTCCCTATAAAAAGATGCAAGATTTTCTTAGCAAATTTAAGTCTACTGTACTTGTATAGATAGTTACAAAAGAGAACTGGTTAGCATTTGTGCAAAATTGAGCATAAAAGATAAGAAAGCTAACTACTGCTTTCACATGGAATCGTGTAGCTGGCGAAGTAAATCCCATCAACTTGCTATCTAGGGGCTATATAGCAAAACAGGTTTTGTAACTCAGAAGATGAGAGGGCTCATAATGATTAATTGAAATTCGTGATTTTTAGAACTTGTGAAGCATCTTGAATGAAGACATTAATGAAGAGATTGCATACGCAGACACTAAGAGTTCACAGTATACTAGCTTTCCAAAATTTTTCACTTAAGATTTTTCTCTGAAGGTGAAACAACATTCACTTTGTTTTAGGATAAAATAAAAATTTTTTAATAGTTTCCTTCAAGACTCTGGATATTCATAATCCCTAGTTAATGTATGAGATAGGGGAAAAATAGAATTATGAACATTTCCTTATATGAACACACGACTGATGAATAAAAAAGATTCTTTTACAATATACAGCATAAAAAATATTTTTTTCAAACATTTACACATGAACTAATAACTAACTTTATTCTATCCCTTTGACAAGAAAGAAGCTGGAGCTGAACCCAGGTTAAACAAACAGCATTCAGCGACATTACCACCTGGCTACTGCTTGCAGCCCACCTCAGAAAAGGAAAGAATTATTCATGTCAAATAAAACTTACCTTCCCAACAATGTAAGGACTACATGCATCTCCAAGAGCATGTGATAATGTAATTTGTATTGCCTGAGCCATGGACCTTCGGCTTGGTATAACAACATACTACAAATATAATTCCAAAAAGTGAAGTTATAATAAATTCAAAAGGCAAAAACATTAAAAGTTGAAATCATCAATCATAACAGTAAACATCTAGAGTGCCTTGAATTTGGACTAATTTGGAAGTTGTATTACTATCAGGAAATTTAATTTGTTATTGACATAATACTTATTACACACACCCCATATCGAAAATCCAAATGCAAATTTAAAATTTTCAAAAAGCAATAACGTTTTATTCAAATGGTCTGCAAAATCAAAATTACTTAATAAATACTACTGAAATGATATCTGGCTAAAATATTATGGGTAAAGACATACACACACTGAATGTTATAAAAAATTTATTGAAATCATTTGTCTACAAAATTACACTGTCCACAAGAAATTATAAGGAAAAGTAGATAGTTTATAAAAGTGATAATTAAATACAAAATAAAGAGAAAAATGCTAAAATATTTTCTTACCAGCACTATATCAGCAACAAGCACCCAATTCATACATAATAATGTTACTCCAAAAAAGATTAAGGCCTAAGAAATAATATCAAATGCATTTAAAAACCAAGCAGAATGTTAAAAAAAAAAAAAAAAAAAAAAAAAAAAAAAAAAAAAAAACATTTTAAACGGGAAAATATTTAAGCCACTGGATGAAAGTACGTAAGACATAAAAAGATCTAGAAAGTTATATTGAGTACAACATGCTATTTCAATTTAATAGTTAAGAAATTTTTGTGTAGGTACTATTGTATAGATAAACTCAGTAATGTGCCATATACTCATGTTTTGGTTTGGTTTATGTGTTTTGAACAAAGCACTTTACGGCTCTCTGCCTAATGAAAGTGATACCTTCACGGAAGACCTTTCTAAGGAAAACTGGCTTGCATACATGTTGCACGTAAGAAAAACTACAATATTGCCCAAGAATTCGAACCCTGGACTGAACTACCAGTGTTCAGTAATTTTACTACTCAGCTGCTGTTAGACCCCATATAGTGATGTAAAACAAAGTTCAGTATAAATATTTGATAGTTAAACATTGTTAAAATCTTCACATAAAGTTCTGGATTATGACAAAATTCAAATTAAATCTAATTTAATGAGAAAAAGTATGCTGAAAATCATTAAGGATTGAGGCACAATTTAGGTTGATTCAATAAATTTCATTTATTGCTGGGAAGCATACTGAACCAGGAGACTTGACATACTGGAACTCCAGGAGCTGTGTTAAAAAATTTGGAGAATTGGCAGTTATGCACACAAGAAAGGCTGATTTACACCAGCAGAATGCTTTTAACTGCTGCTCAACAATGCCCAGTACCACCTCAATGCCTCACTTTCAAACAAACATTTCATTACAATGCATGCTTATTTCAGACCAATTTGCATATCTTTCTAGATATTTCTCAATTACTAACATATATATATAGAGAGAGAGAGAGAGAGAGAGAGAGCAGCAGCAGGTGGCAATAATAATAATGCAAAATAAAAGAAAAATGTTAAAATTCATAATATGTTCAATTTAGAATAAACCACATGCTTAAAATTTGGAATACCCCCCCCAAAAAAAGAAACAGTGGCAAACTGAAAGAAGTAAGAGGACAAAACTTGTCCAAAAAAAAAAATAAATTTACATCTTTCGCTGCATCATCATCAGGGGGTTCATGCAACGAAAGATGTAAATAAAACACCCAGTTTCTGAACCAACAAAGACACAAATTAAAATAACACATTTTTAATTTAAAAGTGAAACCCAGGCAATATAGTGGTTTGGGAAGCTGAATGCGATACCCAGGCAGTACAGTGGTTAGGGAAGCCGAATGCGATACCAAACGAATCAGGTTTGAATCACAGAAAAGGCATAGTTGTAACTGTCCATCCCCTCATAGGAGGCAAAGGTGGCCCACCTATTAGTTGCCTTCATAATAAATTACCACCAGTTTTGTCCTTGGCAGTAGCCAAGCTGAAGTCAGCTGAGGGCGTGACATTGGTTAAAAAATATTAGAAAAAGTATTCCGTGTCTTTATCAGTCCAAGCCCTACAGGTTAGGTAGTGTCAAAAATATAAAATTATAGCATGAAAATCATAGACAATATTTTTTTTAATTGCAGAATAGACAAATTTGAAAAATATTCAAGTAGATGGAGTCCACAAAGAATACTCACAAAACAATCTGTAACCTCGCAACTTTCTCCATGATAAAATGTTGAGGAACCTGGTGAGCTAAGTAGTGACTTATCGCTTAGTTCAAGTACTTACAATGTAGACTCGAGAAGGGTTATAATACCCTTTTATTCACTCAAAGAAATAATAACAGATGGCCCCTTCTCGAGCTTACAGGAAAGCCTCCAGTTGGGCTTTTAAGTTGGGATAAAAAAATAAGAATCTAATCTAATACTAAATAGACTTAGCCAAAGCTAGGTACAAATATCTAACTAGATTTATTAATTTAAACTAGCCAACGAATATCAACAGGCACATACAATACTGCAGAGCACAATAGATTCAAGTATGAAGTAGCAAGAAGGCAAACATGTGCCCTAAGGACACCTAAACACTTTCGTTTGAAAGTTGAATTTCCTTTAAATACTACTTCCAACTCATTTGTATTCAACACAATTCTAAAAACTCATTCTGGTAGGGAGTTGTAAATGGCAAACAAGAATTGAATGGAAAGTGTTTCAAAATTAAAAATAACTGTTATAAAAGTACTGTTACTGTAACATACACCTTACAAATCTATACCTGAAATTCTAACACTTGAAAAGAACAGAATAATATGCAAATTTTTCATGCAGAACTGGAAATAACTACAAGAAAATTTTGAAAACATACATGTTGGGTAAAAATAGCATAAATCATAAAGAAGCAAAAAACAAAAACTAATAATTTTTTTTGCTATTAGTGGACCAAGTCCAAAAACATGTAAAACACATGTAATCCAACAGACACCAAAATAAAAGAAATGACAACTTCATGGAAAAAAATACAATTTCCTTGTACATTTCTTTATTTTCTTTTGTTTTTCTTAAAATCTGTAACTCAAGAGCAACAAAAGTTTAGAAATGTAAAAACATATATACACCTTTATAGTAATAGCTAAGCCTAAAATGTGTGAAGTAATGAATTTAGATAAATTTTACAAATTTTAAACCGACTAAAAAAAATAATTAGAAAAAACTTATAACACAGAATATGTGTAATAAAAAATGAATAATTTGAGAAAGGAAAGAACATCAAATAACCTGGATAATGAATCCAAAAATAACCATGAATTTGAGTTCAGCTATTAATTCACTTTAATTCAACGAATGGAAAAATTTGTAGTATTTAGTACCAAAAAAATGACTTTTTTAAAATTGTAATGCATTATCAAAAAAATATTTTGAAAAGTAAAAAAGTGAAGAGTAAATAAATTAAAAAACTACAATTTTGATATACTAAGGGCTGTTACTACTAAACTGTGAGCAAACTTAGAGAAAGCATAAACACGAATTTAGAAACATTGCTATAAAATATAGGTAACCTAAAAGAGGACAAAGGCAGAAAATGAAAGAAGTCAAATGTTACAAGCTATGGAACACGCTTAAGCATGCTTTCTTGAAACCTGGAAGCTGAAGTAAGCTCACTTTGTTATTAAAAAGATCAGAAACTATTAGACAGGCTAAATCTACATTAAAACTAATGTTAGAATTCCGAAAAGAATGCCAAATTCAACTGTGTTAAGAACATCCAAACTACACTGCCACAGTGGTTTTAGGCATAGCCTTATAAAAAACAGCAGTTTGGTGTTGTAAATAATTTTAGACTGAAAACTGTATTTTAGATAGCTTTTTGATGAAATTGTGTGGAATCTTATCTTTTAGCATTTTAATTAACAAATTAAGCTACTTTGTTAAATCATTGTTGTTATTACAGACATTTTTTATTTATTGTTTGATTAATTATATTAGCATGTGGTTTATTCTTGATGAATATGGGAGAATTTTAATGTATATGTATTTTATCTTCTTTTGCATTATCTAGATTATATTAGATATCTACACAACACACACACATCCAACTCTGACAAAACTGACTCTTTCAAGAAGATGTCCTACAAAGCATTAACAAAGGGAAATTTTTTTAAATTTCACAATTTGATATAACTCACATTTTTTAATACTAAGCCATATCAAAAATCAACTTTTAGAAATAAATAATAAAAATTATGAAATTATTACATGAAATTAATATGAATATATCTATAAATTATATAATATCATTATATGAAATATATAATTTAGAGAAACCATAAATGCAATATATTTAAAATGTAATACCCATATTTTACAAGAAGCTAGTATCACAATATAAACATCAAAAAGGCTTAGTAAAAATTGTCAACTACAATATAAAAGCAGCATTTTTTTTTTTTACTTACATATGACAGAGAAGTATTTGATGATGCAGTAATACATGCAACAAAAACTAAAGGTATAGCAGCTAGCATACTGTAAGCGCAGATCAAAGGATCTGCTCTGGGATTAAATTGACGGAAATACTGTGAACATAAGGAGCCCAGAATAACACCAGCTATTCCCGCAAAACATGTAATGATGCCAAAAATTAAGTTGACTCTGAAAAAATATTATTTACTTTTAAATCAAACAATTACTTGAAGGCAACATGGTAGCATTTATCAAATAACATGCATCTAATTATTCTAATAAAAGTCATTCTACAAAAGCTGCATCTCATAGGAAGGTTAATTCAACATGAGCAAAATAATTTCCAATATACATCATGCAATAAAATTATATACACACACACACATATATATATATATATATATATATAAAGATGTCTAATAGCATTTAAATAAAATTATGAAAAATTCTATGCTCTGAATATTAGAAAACATAATAAAACTGCTGTTTCACAGAAGCAATATGCTCTTTGCAGGTGAGAAAATAAGATGCCATCTTGATGGTTATTGACTGGCACAGTTAAAACATCAAAAACCAAATATTACAAATTAAATTACTTTTTTAAACATAATAAATTAACTATTTATTAAAATATTAAATCTTAAATTCATTTACCTTAATATTGCCATCTGAATATATGGGACAGTAACTGGAATTGTTCTATTAAAACCAGAGCATTTAATCACTTCATGTTTTACTTAGATGACCATTCTAAGAATTAATAATAATAATTCAAATAATTCTGATGGCCACAGGAATTTATTACAATAATGTCAAAGTTCCATTTACAAAACCCTTCAGAAATCAAATTTTGCTACATATTAAAAGGTAGTATTTTAATTGGAAACTAACATCCTACAGACACTACTAGACTAACAGTGAATTATCAGTATGTCCTGAAAAATTCACAAAATACTTAAGAAAGTTAAAACAACCTTTTCATTTAATCTTACATTGAATAGTGCATGCACAACTTATGCTAAAAAGAAACTTTCATTATTTGCAGATATTTAAATTAACAAATTCCAACGTCAATAACATAGTCCAAGACTACACACAGAAAAGACTAAATTAAGCTCACTAAGAATTAAACTAGTATATTTTACAGTATTGGCTAGCAAAACACTAAAGCTGGAATAAACTTTTAGCAGATCTGGTGAGAATAACAAGATGTGGTTGCCAAAAGCTCTCATCTAAATATTTAAAAAAAATCAGCTTAAATACATGCAAACCTAATTTGCATTTTCGTGAGGAATAGAGAAAATAGAAGTTATAGTCAAGATTTAAATCACAATAACTGGTTAGTTAACATAAGATACCTTATACCATGACAATTTCTATTACATTTGTTATAATAATAGTGTAATTTTTTTTTTTTTCATTTAAGATTTGCTTTTAAACATCTCCATACTGTTTCTGAGGATTTTCTTTGAGGGAATTCTGTAATTATTGCCCTCACAGGCATTTCTTGCTTTGAAGCCAAATAATTCGAACATTTTATAATTACGCATCACTGGTAGGCTGATATACATCAGTAATAAGTTTCATGGCATAGTCTTTCCAGCTGTATAGAAGTGAAATACACTATTACAACTATTCACTGCCAAAGTTACCATAATATGCTCACATACCACAGCTATGGCGAGTTCCAAATAAAATTGTCATGGGGGGTCAAGTAAGATATGATATGAGAGGCCAAGAGAGTACAACACAGCTACTACATAACGCAGTCACTTACGTTCACAAAGCAAACTGAATATAAACGAACAATGAACGAAATATTTATTCCTCTTTCTATATATGAAGATACATTTCTGCACCATTAAGAAATATCAATTCCGTTCAGAGATAAAATAGGCTTCTTTATAGACATCATACATAAAATAATGATGGAACCATACAAAAGGAATAAAAGAACATTTGTAATGCTTAAATAAGAAGTAAAACCATACATTTAAAACTACCAAACAATTAAAAAAGGGAGATTGAGTTATTAATATAATTATCTACTTTGGTGCATTCATCAATTCAGACCTATCTAATACTCTGTAAGTACATTAATGATATATTACAGTGTTTGATGGCAAAATAAATGAAAATAATGTTACAAGAATGCCTAAAATTACAACATACACTACACCAAGACTTGCCTTCATTTGGAAGAATGCATACAGAGATTCCAAAAGGAAACTTTCAAAGAATCATTAAAAAATACTTAGATGCAATTTAGGTTAATGCTTAAAATCATGTAAAATTGATACCGCACATTAGTTTGGATTTAATAAAGAGGTTTCATGGTTCCTCTAAGGGAAAAAAATGCTTCAGGTGTCAAAATACACATTATATGAAAATGATTACATATTTTATTAAGAATCCTGTTAGAATTCTCAACAGATGCCCATTGCAATACTGAAGTACACTTTATTTAACTAATTAAACAGTTAGCACATTATGCATATAAAAAAAGGGGCAAGCTCTCTTTTTTATAAGCATAGAACAAATTCACAACTTCCTATCATTTATAAAAATATTCTAACTCACAAATATAAATCATAGCAGAATGCAGTTTCATTGCATATCCTCATTTCTTCAAGCAAACCATTATATGGTGACCAAAACTGAAAGGGGTAAAAAATCACTTGAACCAGATCAGATACATATGGCAGACTGCCCACCTCCCATACAAAATAATGATTTTTTTTAAACACAACAGAGCCTTGCCATAAAAATACAACCCTCATGCACTTCAATCATGATTTTTCAGAAACATGTCTTCACAGAAAGATGGTCACAGCTTTAAAAAAAAAAAAAAAAAAAAACCTTCAAAGCATCAGAATATCTTTATGCCAGGACACAACAATGTAGGTAATTTTTTTTCCCTCTTTAAGTATGTGTATGTTTATGTGTGTGTGAGACTGCATATGCAGAATAGATTGGTTGGTTGCAAATTAAAATCCTACTGACACAGTTGTGTACTGCAATAAAAATGTCATTAACCTTTACATATGCTGCTTTTTTTCAAGTTAAAAACTTAGATGCATAAGAGCAGGGGTTCCCAACCATATGCCCGAGGGCACCATGGCGCTCACCAGTTGTTTAACGAGTGCCCGCCGCTATGCGATCACAATAAAAATGTTACGTTTTTAATAAAATTCTGTGTGAAAGTTTTCTCATTTTTAATGAAATAGAAATTGCATCCAACAAAGATACTAGCACCAAATGAAATGCGACTGATCTTTTTTTATGTGCATGTATTATTAACTCTAACTATAAATTCACCTTGAAAAGTAAATGGTGCCCGCCATCCAACAGATATTCTCGAATGTGTTTTTAGGGACAAAAAGGTTGGGAACTGCTGCATAAGAGTAATTTTTATACTAGAGCATTCTTGCCAAGGATTTCATCTCCAAAAAATGCACTGCAATAAGAAAAATACAATTCATTTGGTTATTATTATTTAAAATAAACCTGGTAAATGATGAACATGGGGCAATACCGATTAACCAGTAGTAAAGATCAGATGTCTCCAATCATTGTCAACTGAAATGAAATGTTAGCTGAATAGTATAAAGGTACTAAAAGAGATACCACAACAAAGGAGTATCAAAACACCTCCAGTTTGCACTGCATACAGTTAAACTATCATTCTCTTAAGGAAATCGACCAAATGGCAGATAACATTCTGATAACAAACATAAATTTTTCAGTTTGCTATAAGTCAAGATGCTTATATTCAATATTCACACATTTCAATTGTATAGTATCATTGTGATCTTATGTCTTATTACTGATGATTAATTTAGATTATTTGAATATGGCAAAGCACATGAAGACTATCTGCCTAGAGGAAGAGATATCCTTAAGGAGGACTTTCTAATAAAAACTGGCTTTTATTTACATTACACATGGAGAGAACCAACCCTGTTCACTTGGGATCATTCAGCAATCTCAAACCCTATGGCAACTGCTGGCTCAAAGAAATATTTTCATAGTGAAACAAAAACCTTCTGTAGGTTTTGTTCAAATATAATAATTTGATATTTGAAAATTTTTGGAATAATCTTCAAAACATACATTTTAAACAACTCATTCAGATTTAATAAAAGCAATAATAAAGTACAGAGTCTTAAATCCGAACCTTTAAACCACCAGCCAAAAATAAAAATATGGAAAAAATTCTCCTGCTTACAAAGTCCGGGAATTATTTGTATAATACTCAATAAAAGGAAGCAGATGTGTAGTAAATGTGGTTTCTCTCCCGGCTCACTGATATTTCTGCTTATTAGTTTCAAACACCTACTGGCTAGGCAGTTGCATGTTGGCCAGTGACTAATCATTGATTGAAGTTGCTAATGTTGGCTAAGAATACACTCTCTGCTTGAGTGGCTGTAGAAGGAGGTAGCATTTTCCTAATTGACTTGAACAATAAGCCCAAATGTTGCCATGTCTACATGGCATCTTAGCAGATTTAAACCGATGATATAAAATCCAGAATCACCGAAGTCATGACGAATCCAGATCTTGAACTTTATACTGTAGTACATCATTGCTTTATCTCTAACACTAGCAATACCTGTGTATGTAATACTACATTTTAAATTGACATTAAAAGCATTCAGCTTATCTTTAAGATATTACAAACAACAAGTAAAGCAAGAGTCCTCTTGTACACACAACTGATCTGTTATCCCTTTGTTCTGAAACAAAACTTCGCACATAGATTTTCTAAAAACATAAGGTCTAACTTGATAAGTTGTTTAGCTTTATTATGTAATAAACATGCCAATTAATGGTAACATTCCTAAACTGCTTATAATTAGCGAAATCCTTCCACATGTTCTTGCAACATATCCCATGATGCTCAGGTAAAGCAATTATCTAGATTTTATTCTATAAAGCTCTGAATAGCATCAACTTTAATTATAAACACTTCACACAGTAAATTTTCCCTTAAGTACTATAAACAATAATAATTAAAGCAGCTGATGAGAACGAAAGATTTCCTTAATTATTAGTTTGTATGTGCAAGTGCCCGTATTTGTGAACAACTTAGCTTTAATACTTATTCAGAAATCAACAAACTATCCACATAAGACAAGTAATGAACTATTATAACATTTCAATTATGAGCATTCATTTACATTTTAATCACAGATCATTTTAAATAAATCAATGAAATCTTTCCTTAAAAAAAGAATACTACAGTTACTAATTTTTCATAGTACAGAAGTTATACTTACAGTGTTTTGTCAGGTTTCCCACCTTGTACCTCAAGAGCATGTGTCATAAAATCAGGAACCCACCATGCCAAAGCTCCAACAGAAAAAGTGACACAAGTAAATCCCAGAGAGACCCACACAAACGATGGGCTGCAAAATATTTCTTAAATGTAAATGCAATGCAGCCTTTAGTTAAAAAAGCTGTATGCATAAAAAAGTTATCCAAAAAGCCCATAAAACACTTAAACATATTTCAAAAAATGCATTTCGATAACATTTCATACCTAGAAATTCAATACTCAGTCTTGAAAATACTTTTTTCTTGAAGATAACTCAAGCTTATGTTCAATAGCTTACATAATAAACAAAACTTACAGTCACGAAATTATGTTAATTCATCTATATAAACTGGTCAAAAAATCATACAGAAGCTTAATAATAATTTGGCATAGGTTTAAAAATTAATTTTTTAACTAAACACCATTTTTAATACTAATCATACTTTACTATATCTCTACTTCATTAGCTAACACCATACTTCATTACCTAACATCACAAAGATTAGAAATAAAATGCATTAATATTCGTTATCTTAAATATGTGCATGTGTATAAGTGTAGCAGTCCTGTTTTATGCAAAGGAATCAAATTAATTCCCGACAATTACATGAATTAAAAAAATACAGTAAATATTCTGTCAACATGAATTCTTAAGAAACACATCGACAAGTGCCATTTTCCCCTTTTCAAATTTATTTGGGAAATGATAAATAACAATGGGTACTTTTATATCAGTAAATTACAATGCTTACCTTAATTTATTGATAAAAATATTTATCAGCTTCAAAACCCTACAACACTAAAATATGTATTAAGAACAAACATGTCAGAAAACCTTATATCAAATAAACTAATTATTGGATACCTTTTTGAAAAAGGACAGAGTACAGAACAATGTAAAACTGATCACATTCACAGATGTCAGATTATACGAGTTCAAATACTTGAGATGTAAACTATTGACAAATAACATTTTACAATTTGTCTGCTATTATGGCATTGTCTTCTGCTGACTTTTTAGAAAGCTTTAAGTTTTACATTTTTAATCAGCTCTTCTGAATTCAGAGCAAGACTTTCAACAGACATCCAACAGAAAGGCTCACATCAGTCATCCATGAATGATTAACTCTTACAGTCAGCATTACGTCTCATCACTAATATCTCAGCAATAACATATCTTGCATACCAATATAGCAATAGAACAGTTTGATATATTCTACAAACTGTTACGAAATGTCCAGGCATGGTACGATAACTTCCCTGCAAAGCAGGTTTAGGGTTGCATAAAATGGCAAGGAAAGGCAGGGTTGTCACATTTGGCAAGAAATCACCCATTTGGAGACATTTGACGACAAAATTGGTGATATGCCATAGACAGAGAATTTTCTCGAATGAATTCTTACTGGTTTAGCCCAGAATGTTCTCAAACACAAGTCAAAAGCTATATAAACCCTGCTGGTACGTGGAGCATCAGTTAGTGTCTCATCTAGCAAGTCAGTGCGGAGTTAGTGCAGAGTCAGCTAAGAGTTAGTCCGTGCGGAGTCGATCGAGTTGATAGTCAGTCAACGTGTGCCAAGTTGGTCGTCGAGTGCACCAAAAGATAGTATTGCGGTTAGTGCATCATCAAGAGAGTGTGTTGAGCTGCAGGAACGACTGAACCGAGGAATCGGGAGCTGCACTCTGGTGTATCGTCGAGCACATCACGAGTTGTAGCGTGGAGAGTCTCGAGAGTACATAGAATTTCGAAAACGACCAAGCAGAGTCGAAAGCTGTACTTTGGTGTTTTGCCATGAAGCTGTTATTCACCGTTATAGCGTCATAACCTGAAAGCTGTGCCGCTGATCATTTCAGTGTGTTTATAGTACTTCTTCGATTACTGTAAAACTTGATTTTGGAGATGTCTTGAAGAATACTAGCCAATAAAGTGTGTTTCGATACTTCGTCAAGTAATGTCGTCGTTATTCACTCCAAATCTACACGAACCCCGTACGAACATAAAAGAAAAAAAAAATAACGTAACATTACATTGTGCTGCATCCAGAATTATCTAGTGTTTCACAATTAGACAGTATGAAGACCATTGAATAGCAAGGCATCATAAGCAATATCTTAAATGAACTAAGGTACATAAGCAAAGCATTCTTGCTGGATTGTTAGTTGGTTGGTTGGTTGGTTGAATGCCTACAAAAAAAGATATGTACAAACTACCTGCTTTGGGAGGACAGTTTCATGGCTTATCAAACTTATTTGTTGACTAAAGGGGGAAAATGCATCTGTAGAGGACATTCTAAGGAAAACTGGCTTGTATACGTGTTACACATGGGAAAAACCACAAAAATGCCAGTGCAGCCAGCCCGTTTGCCAGGATTAAAGCTGAAGACTGAACTAAAAAAAAAAAAAAAAAAAACAAAAAAAAAAAAAAAAAAAAAAAAAAAAAAAAAAAAAAAAAAAAAAAAAAAAAAAAAAAAAAACAAAAAAAAAAACAAAAAAAAAAAAAAAAAAAAAAAAAAAAAATCAGTGTTCAGCGACTTTACTACTCGGCCTTTGATAGGCAACATTTTCATTTTACGGGAAACTAGCCCATATTTAGAGTAGATACAGAAAAAACCATAAAAACTTCATGCAATGAACTACACTACTTGGAAATTAACTTACCAATCAGCAATCTAATCCACTTGAGTAATGGTGGGCACCTTGCAGAAGAAATCTTTTACAATGATGACTTTTGTTATCTACTGAGCTATAATGCCTAAGTCTAGATAATGATGCAAATACCATCAAGCTGTATTTTATGACTGCACAGCTGGAGAAAACACAACAGATAAGATGGTGGATTAGGATAAATAAGACCTTTTTCTGACAAAATATAGGTCCATCTCACAAACACTGAACTGACAGACAAGCAGTAAAAGGATCTGTTTCTGTTATCTTCCAAATATGCATGCATGAATTCCATCCAAAATACCTTTAAACAGGATATCTTATCATTAGATTCTCATAATTAATAAGTTTGAAGAACAAAATGAATTTTCATGCAACCTTAATCTTCTCCCCCTCCCAAAAAAGAATTCTTTTTAATAAATTTATGTTTACAGCTTCCAGCTTAGTTGGTTACGGCAAAGCACACTAGGGCTATCTGGCTAAGGGGATGGATACCTTTGAGGACAGCTTTCTAAGGCAAACTTGAATACATTTAATACATGAGGAAAAACATGAAAGTGCCCTTGCAGCCAGCACATTCTCCTGGAATCAAAACCAAGTCAGAACTACCAGTGTTTAGCAATTTTACTGCTCGGCTATTGGTAGGTATATATGTTTATAGGATACAGAGCTACAGGCTGCAAGGGTGACATGTGCAAACTGATGGTGCCACTGTAGCAGACCCAGGCTACATATAAAAGATTTTCATAAACCTGTAAATCTGCTTCTAAATATCTGCAAACAATAGTAGCATACAGAAATTCATAAATGGAATATTAGCTATGTGCTCCCCTTCGAATCAGTTTAAAACACATTAAAACACACTAAACCATTAAAACAATGAATAAGTCATTTTACATACCAATTACTACACTTACATTTTTAAAACTTCAACAATATCTTCTAAGAAACTTGTATTTTTGTGCTCAACTTCACCCTCAGCTTCACCACGAGGTGGTTCAACTAAAATCATCAAACATAATATGACAGCCAGTATTCCAAGACCAGGAGTTACCTATAACAAAATTTCTTTTAAATATATAAATGATGTAACTAGACATATCACACAAATTCATATGTTAAATAAATATATATGTAAAATGACCGCCCAGTGGCGAAGTGGCTCGTGCATTGCGCTGCTGCACTACAGGTCCGAGTTCGATCCTCGGGGTGGGCAAGGTTGACTCAGCCTTTCATCCCTTAAGTGGGTCAATAAAATGAGTACCAAGTTCGCTTGACGACTAAACACCTGGGGTCCTGTGACAAGCTGACTACTTGCCCAGGGCACATGCGATGCATTCCAGAGCCCAAAAGTTCAAGAAAGCAGAAAAAGAGCACTGCAGGCCGTGGCCCACTAGGGCTGTTGCGGCACTGAGTTTTTTTTATACACGTAAAATATAAAATATCTAACACTCTAATAATGCTTCCCTCTTCATTCTAAAAATAGCAAAGCACTAACTTTTCTAATAGAATCTCCTTACTTCATGTAATTCTGAAAAGTGATTCATCATCTACTCGCTATGGTGCAATTACTCTTAGAATGCAATGAAATCTTAACCCAGTATCTGAATATTAATCTATTATGTATCTAAAAATTAATTCGCTTAAATCATCTTGTAATGTGACCTGAAATGTAATCATGCTTTGGTATAAAAAGATCTTTGGTGCACAACCTAGCTCTCCTTTTTTTCGTTCACCTCTTTTTGCTCTCTTCTGCTTTGCTGTAGCCACATGTTGCTGCTTTCTGCCTTCAAAAAAATTGATTTTTCAAGTTTATCAGATGTAAAATATTCTTTAAGAACAAGGCACTGAAATGCTGATTTGATTTATGTTGGATTAAACAGAAATGTATGCAAACCATGAATAAAAAGGAAATAACTGAATTCAGACATATCTGCAAGTTTCTGATTTATGCATCCATCTACGATGCTAAGTTGTTACAATTACCTTCTTTCTATTTCATTGCACACACACATATATATGTGTGCATATTATATATATATACACACACACATAATTAACAGCATACACTAAGATGAATCCCAATTCTCAAGTTGGAAAAAATATCCCATTTTGAGCAAAGTGAGTATTCAATCAGTGTGGTTGAAATATTGACACATGCCCCCTATAGTTGCTAAATGAAACAATACCTGATTGATCAGTCTCTCTTAGCATTTATAGTTTTACCACTGTTGTGCCAATAAATGAATTTCTTAATAAAAGTAGATGTCCGATGGGAAGAAGTAAGCTGCATGCTGGACCTCTCTGTAACCAATATATTTGAGTGAGGGGCTAAGAAGCAACAAGAAGAAACAATCAATGGAAGGTTAAACCAAGAATACAATGGTAAGGAAAGATTTCATACTGCAATAAACTAACAGCCATCACAGCCTTTAGTGCAATGGTCAGCAGACAGTGCCTAGTAACATAACAGCATGTTTGCTCAATACTGCTGATGCCAAATGACAAACTGACAAGAGCAAGCACTAATGTAAAAGCTTTAATCTGATGGAGAATGACATAATGAATCAAACCTACAGCAGGCCACAAGCAAGAATAATTATTACTTCACCTCAAGGGCTCTACAGATCAACCACAAGCAAGAACCTGAGACAATACCTTGGTCAATTTTCATAATCTAATCATTGCACTAATTTACAATAACAGTTACTGATTTTTCATCACACAATTCAGAATTAAATTTCTTTCTGTTTACTTAGACTAAAGAAACTGCATAATCCTAGACAGCATGCCTTATTGATCGATGTCAAATCGCAAAGCATTTTTGGGTACATTTTTTCCACCGTATAAATGGCATTGAGGTGCAAAAAAAAAAAAAAAAAATGGTATGGAATATACTGCAATCTACTGATAGATGCCATTGTAAAAACACTGCCATTAGAGAGCACAAAATAGACACAGCTGAAGAAGAGATAATAAATAATAAAATTGTTTAACAATGTTTCTTCTTCAACAAAATCATATAATACAACCTATAGTTACAAAAATAAAAAAGGGGCCCTTACAGGCCACGAAATCGAAAGTGTAGGGGGTGTCAATTCTTGATACCATAGCATGAGAAGCATGCTCTTTTTATATATTATCTAAAACATAAAATATAATAACTTCAAAAATGCAACATACTTTTTCAGCTGCCTCAAAGCATTTTTCAATTTTTTGTTTTTCGGCTGAGTTACATCTCATAATATTATACTAGTTCAGTTACAGCATGATACGGTTTATACATGCAGTGTTATATTTGCTAAATTTTTTCATAAAATAATATTAATTATTTAAATCAATTTCAAAAGCTTCTTACCCATATTTTAGATAAGTATGTTCCATTGGTTTGCATCATCAAAATGCACAAAAATTAATTTTACTATTAAAATTTTCAGGTGAAATTACAAAAATTTTTGTCTTCCAGACATATATAACTATATTCAAGCACCCATCTCTATAGACACACACTGAAAGTATGCAAAACTAACAAATTAGCAACTGGCTTTAAAAACAAAAATTAGCAACTGGCAGCTACCAAGGGGGGAAAATGTCTTAGAGGGGAACCAGTAAAAAATATATACCAGCCCTCAAAATTCAGGATTTCACTCTAGATTTTTTTAAGTATCAATTTCGTGTTCTTAAGCTCCACAAGTTACAATTTGTGCAAACTTTTACCACAATTTAAATTATTTTATATATCACCCCTCAAAGGATTGAAAATAGTATTTATATAGTCATAATAAAAAGTTCTTTTATTTAAAAAAGTATTTATTAAAAACATTACTGAAATTTCAACAAATGAACTTTTGATAGACAGTTGCCTATATAGATTGTAATACAGGCTTTAAAGTTACTACAACAACTGTACATTGAAAGATCTATAACAATAGAAACCACTTACATTATTTTAACACTTTACAAACTGCTACAGCCTACGCACGTTTTCAACAGCACACGCACGTCCGACCGGCCACTCAGTCGCAGATTCTTGCTGCCATCACTTTTGTCGCCACCATCACTCCTGAATAACTGTCAGGACAATCTAATAAATCATCCAAACAAATCGTCCAAACATAACTCCAGTATAATTTTTTTTCCACTCATCGTAAACAGTAAATTTTTTTTTAAATGGTGTGAAAATGTGGGAGTTTATGAAGCAACGCACCTAACGCAAGTGAGCAATGTACCTCAATACTAATAATAAAATGCAAATGATATAGTAAATGGCAATTGTTTATCACCATGGCTACCAATTGATAGGCTATTTTTAGGTAGCCCCGAGAGAAAAGCGATTAATAGGCTATAGGTCGGTAGGCGTTGGTGAAAAAAGCCAATTAATAGGCTATCGGTCGGTAGATGTTGCTGATGAAAAGCTGATTAATAGGCGATCAGTTGGTAAAGTGCTAATATGAAATTTTTCTGGATATTCTTTCTTTCCTATTACTATTCTAAGCTTATTTGCTTAAGTAAATGAATTAATGTTACTACTAGTTCCTTTGAACTGCATTATAATAAAATGTTCTAAAAGTTCTATACCAGAGCTTCTCTATCAGGGACGAACTCCCCCTGGGGATATTTCATCGGAGAATGCAATCGCCTTTTATTTGGTTGTTAAGTATTATCTTATGAATACCAAAACTACTTTCATTCAACTTTTGGTTATTTATCTACCTATTCTACACTTTCCATTTAATTTATAAAATACATTAAAATGCAATCTATATCTAAATTTGTCACTAACCTCTAGTCACCTCAGTACGTTATTAGATTTTACATTGAAAGCAACTTGCATTTACACATATATTGCTTATAATTTAAATAATGTCCCTCAGTACTTAATACAAACAGGCTCAGGTTGACATTTTCCAAATTAAACATTAAAAGTCACCAAGACTAATAACAGAGAAAGATTCAAACAGAAACATTTACCCTTAGGGCCCAATACCAATGACCGATATAATTAGCTACTTCTGGTCCAACAATGTAGCCTAAGCCACTAAAAAATAATAAAAATACATTTTCTAGAAATCTTATATAAAAGGTTTCAAAATTACATCTAAGGAAATAACAATCAAGTATAAAGAATTAAAAATTTCAAAAATGATAGCACAACTACATTTATAATTAAATTGCCAAAGATTATATCAATCTTCCTGATATAAAGAATAATCTTAAAAACGTCAGATACAAACATCAGATAAAATACTTACTAAAAAATATTCTGATATAAAACTTGTATCCTAGTGTTATATTATTTTAAAGAAATTTTTAAAGATCAGCCCATGTTACATAAAAAATGAAATTTGCTATGAGATAGTAATCTTCATGGTGCAAGGTACAGAAACAAAAAGGTCTTGGACAAAAATGCTATCTGGCCATGTACAGAGCATATCTAAATAAGTAAGCATAAAAATATTATCAATTTAAGGATGCCTTTTATGTATTTCTCCATACAGATTTTTCATTTGGGAGAAAGCAATGTATTATATTAACATTGTAGCCGTTTCGTCTACCTGAGTAGCATAATTTACTTGGTCTCTGAACATTTCTGTAGAACGTTATATGCACTCATCTAACAGACTTTTCCAAACATTCAAATTCATAAAGCAATGATACTTAAGTTATTCCAGGCAGCCCATATCATTCATGCAGCACATTTCCTCAATGACAAGATATCATATTCCAAACATGCATACACCAAAAGTTTCATTGCATCACTTGCAGCAATGCAGATTATGATGAAAATCAATGTGAATAACAGACATATGAAATCAAAACAAGGTTAGATAATGCAAAATACACAGACAAGTAAATCCTAAGGATACAATCACATAAGTTACAAGCTTCATGTCGGTAATAAATAAATAAGTTCATATTTCAGTAAAGCACTTAAATTATACCATACAATTTCAAGAGTATTGTCACATACATCTCCTATTAAAGAAATCCCAGGTCTTAGCATCAAAAGAAGCAAGGGAATATAAACAGTAATGTCCAATTTAACAGCATTAAGTCCACAAATAATCTAGCAGCTTAATAACCGAACCACCATAAAACATGCTATGTTGCAGTATGTGCTAATATTAAAAGTGATACTGATCATTCTGAGGTTTGGGCTTGTGATATAGCTATTTACAGCACTTTTAATTATGAATATGCATTACTTAATGTGTCAACAGGTCCCCCGACACTTAGCCGATGGGACACTTAACAGATACCAGTTAGCTGACAGGACACTTAGCCTATACGGACACTTACCCGACGCAGACATTTAGCCGACAAGGACACTTAGCCAACAAGAACACTTAGTGAACAGGACATATAGCTGACACAGACAGTTAGCTGACAGGACATTTAGCCGACGCGGACAGTTAGCCGACAGGACATTTAGCCGACACGAACAGTTAGCCAACAGGACATTTAGCCGACACGAACAGTTAGCCAACAGGACATTTAGACAACAAGGACACTTATCCGACCGGACATTTGGCCGACACAGAGAATTAGCCGTCAGGACATTTAGCTACGAGACACTTAACTGTCAAAACATTTAGTCAAACAAAATTTCTCGACTTCCCCACAAGTTCAATATTTAAGTTATTTTTTCACCTATCAGTAAAATTCATTTTTCGATTCTTATAGATCTCATATGTGCTTTTAATTGTTGTGTTAATTTAGCATTGATATGTATTGTGCTGTTTGGTGTATATTGGCTAAACTGAAAAAGCACTGAAATTTCTCGTCAGGGAATATGAATTAAATTTCGAAAGGAAAAACGAATTTTTTTAGCTAAGTACAGCGGTCACTTAATTACATTTGGGATCTTAAAAATTATCTGTAAAGCTCCTTCATTTAATCAACTCAGTTCTTTTGAACACTTTCATATCATTAATAACTTTATTAATTAATTATTTTCTTGTTTACTTAGCGATATTAATTTTCCAATCTCGCTCTTCCAAATGCGTTCAAATTTCTAATACCTTTATGTTTCATTACTATTTTACTCAATACACCATGTCACATTCTTTTTCTTACAAAATCGTTTCACTCCTCCCACAAATAAAATTTCCTTTCCCTGTCGTGAAAAATCTAAATTGTGCAATAAAAATTATTGTTATTCTTGAATTACACTTTTTATAGAAATATATGGTGGTGAAGGGTTAGTTTCGAAATATATATTATTTTGTTATTAGAAACAATTAAAAAAAAGTGCATCAAGACAAGCAAAGGTATAAATTATTGACCTCTATAATGAGTTGTTCATGCCACCATACTCGAGATAAAAATTCTGTAACATTTTATTGACCTCGCCTCTCTCTTAAAATATTTAGGTTAATGTTTATAGCACTAAATTGGTGCATTATGTTTAACTTAGAAGTAAAATATTCTTTAAGGTTTTATTTCAGTCATAACTGAATTCTATTCTCAAAAACTTCATTTTTCACTCTTCATATATCGAAAACGTTGCTGATATGAAATTTCGGACGTTGGAAAATCTCCGAAGAGAACTCTGAGGAATCTGCAGAAAAAAGAGCACCAAGCAGGGCGGAGCAAAGCAAGACATCCTGAAAAGTCACCGTAATGTGGTGCCATCTATCAAAGCTAGATTTAACTAATCAGTCATGTAGCTAGATAATACTACGTACTCTGTTTTGAAAGTCGCGATGTGCAATTTTCAATATAATATGTTATATTGTTTCATGTTTTTCTCATAAAATGTAACTTTCTCAATATCTGTTAAAAATGCATAAATTTTCATTTCACTTTTCATTAACTAACTTTTTTTTTCTCTTTCATTTCCTCTCTTTCTCGTTTCTGTTATAAGTACATGGTAATAGGAAAATTTTTGGTGTCCATTTACCTGAATGCATTTATAAAATTCTAGCCTAAAAAGGCAATTTTATTGGAAGAGAGTGGTTATATATTAAGTAAAATGGTCACTCTATTTCAGTTAGGCCCAGTAGTGGCCGAGCAGTGAGGTCACTGAACACTGGCAGTTCGGTCCGAATTTCGAATCCCGTGAACAGACAGGCTGCATGGGTGTTTTCCCCATGAGTAACATGTATACGAGTCAGTTTTCCTTAGAAAGTCCTCCGCGAAGGTATCCCTCCCATTAGGCAGATAGCCCTCTGGCTTTGCTGTAATTACATAAACTAAACCTACTTCTGGCGGCAGACCACGAGGTATGAATTCCCATGCCGGAATACTATCCCATATTAATAAATATGAGATGCCTAACCTGTAATTGTAGTAACTTGTAATAAATATGTAATGAATAACCTGTAATTGTATAGGGTGTAAATAGCATTTTGGATAAAAAAAAGTAGTTCCAGTGTGGCGAGGAGTAGGGCGAATCACTCTACTTCCTGACAGGGGAAAGGAAATTTCATTAGTAGGAGGAGCGAAATGACTTTATACGGGAATGAATGTAGTGTGATGTGTTGAGCAAAGTAGTAATGAAAATGTGAAAGTATTAGAAATTTAAAACCATTGGGAAGAGCAAGACTCATTGTCGGCTTAATGTCCTGTTGGCTAACTGTCCTTGTCGGCTAAACGTCCTGTCAGGTAAGTGTCCTTGTCGGCTAACTGGTGTTGATTAAGTGTCCCGTCAGCTAAGTGTCCATGACCGGTGTCAAACAAATTGAACATGTATTTCAGGAATATGAAGTCCAAGTGAAAAAACAAAAAGACTTTTAAGTGTTTTTTCTACCAGAATCATCAAGGGTATTTATTATATGGTCATTATTTGCCAGGTATATGCACTATAAGAAAAGGTCTTTATTTCTGTAGAGCAATTTTTTTAAATAGAAGCACATAATTTTGTCCTAAGAGAAGGCTAATTTTCGTTTCATTTCAATCTTTATGCATGCACAAAGAAAATTCACTGCATAAATTACTCTTCCTTTCTGTCTATAAAAAAAGGACATATTTTTACTTCCTTTAATGACTGTAATAAATATTCAGTCACATGTTTGTGACTGTTTCTCTTTTCCATAATTGCTCCACAATATTTCATCAAGCTAAAAATCTCTTAACTACACACATACTTGCCAACCTATGACACTCAAAAATTAGATTTTTCACAATGTTAAAAAGACTTTTTAAATGATAAAAATATAGTTTTTAATAATGAATTAACTTTAAATAGTTACTAATTCTTAAATGCAAGCAACGCAAAAATACTTTACACATAAAAAAAAATTTTATTACTTGCATCGTTTAAGAAAACAAAAACCAAAAAACCACTTTAATCAGTTTTTGTACAAATGTTATGAACAGTGGCATATTTTGCTTTTGTTAAGAAAGAAACTTCATAATTTTGTTCATAGCAATTGCCACGTAGGCCTGCTTTTGCTAATGAAAGTTTTTCTAATGTGTCATCACTAATATTAGATCTAAATTTTGTCCTCGTTTTCGCAACAACACTTAAAATCCTCTCGCACTCTTGCATTACTATGGGGAACTGTCAAGATGGCCAACATAATTCTAGACGGTTCACTATATTTTAAAATTCCATCAGCACCTTTCAGTTTTCCAATTAAACTCCACTAGGTGTCAATCCTAGCTGGTTTTATAACTTCATCCAAATTTTCTAATTATAAACTGCAAAATTGCGACTGCAATATATCAGTGGCAACATCAATATCATCATCTTTCATGACTAAATGAAGTAACACAGGAAATCTGTTAAAAAAGTACCTTATATCAGGAAAAGATGCATTTGCTAAAGCAGAAACATCAGCAACTTTAACATGCAAAATCACTTTATCGTTGACTGGACATTTATGTAGTACATAATCAATAACTTTAATTAATAACTTTTTGGTCCTTTGTTTCCGAAGAAAAATTTAATTTTCGTTTTTTTTTTTTTTTTTTTTTTTTCAAAACACAGCTCATGTTTTCCTTGTGTCTTTGTGTACACACATGTTTGAGAAGCATCCGCCCTTCTACCAGGCGAAATTGAAAAATCGCAATGACAGACGGTACATATTGCAA